TTTTTTCCCTCAACCGCTTCCTGTACTCTAGGTGTCATGAAGATGATTTACCCCAGCACGGAAGCTGATCCGGGCCGCTTGCCTTTTTTTAAAACCAGAATTACACAAGGCCTATCTTCTTATCTAAATCCAAACCCGAGGACACCCATCACTCTCAATGGATCTATTGCGACGTCTCTATACACACATGCACAAATACACACAAAAGAACAGAGAGTGTGAAAGACAGAGGGGGAGAGCGAGCGCGTAAGCATTCATACAGTAGACAGTGCTACATGATCAAAGGCGACGGGGAGAGAAGGGGAAACGAGAGTTCTAAAAATGGTTTTGCAGCTGATTCTGTGAGTCCTAGCAGTCACTCTCTCAAAATACACACATGAACACACACGCATGCATGCTCGGCGCTTTCATATTTAACTAAAGGCAGGGCCCGGCGTGTGTCACACTCCAACAGGGGGACACGACTTTTGCTCGTTTGAGGAGCGGAGGCTTTGTTTCCTCTAGGTGGTGTGGCTTCGAGTACCTGGGGGGGGCGAGAGATTGTTTCTCTTCTCTCTTAACAGGAAACAGCATCAGGAATGAAAGGAAAGTGAGAGGGCAACCCGACTGCTATCAAGTTTCTCCCAGACTCCATTTCAGAATATGGTGCTATAACTCCCCAACATAAAATCAATGATTTGTTTAATTTAGACAGAGCTCGTAAATGTGCTAATTTCAGGGACAGCCAACAAATCTAGAGGGCCTTGTTATCCCATTTGCTGCTCCATTAGTTGGGAAATGATACAGCTCGGCGTTGTTAAGAAACTGAACGTTCGGTCTTACCATTCAAACAAGGAAATAAGTGACAATGCTGTAATTGTCAATGAAAAAAATAAATTCATATTACATATTCACAATTTTACATCAGATGATGTTTTATTTAAAATTGACAGCATGTACAATTATAACCACACAGGCCTGACCGAGACCTTTCTAATACTGTTTTCCAGAGCGTTTTTTTTTTTGTACCATCTTAACATTGTTCAACTATTTATGGTAAAAGTCTAATTTAAAAAATGTATAGGGAATATATATTTGACTAAGATAAAAGCTATAAGGTTATAATTTAACATAAAATATATTAATTTAATAATATACATTTACATTTCATAATACATTTTATTATATAATTTATATAAAACTATAAAATAAATATAGACCTGATAAATAAATAATTTTATATTTAAAATGTCAAAAAAAATTAATATAATGTAATTTATATTAAATTATGGGTCTGAAGGGATCCTGTGAGTCTTCTGTGAGTCTATTCATAGCTTGAGTTATAATCTGTAGCACTCCATGTTCCTGTACTGGTAACAATATTTTATCAGGGGTGTTATCTCCCTCACACACACACACACACACACACTCCAGCTCTATTCTCACTGCCAGGCATCAACACTCATCTGTCTGACTGGGACTCAGCAATTAGGGGCCACACAAGCAAATGCCACTCATGACCTGAAGCGCAAAGCCACTGACAAACAAGCAGAGACAAATCAAGGGGTGATTTAAAAGCATAGCGCTAAAATCTCAATATTTGGCCATTCAGATTTAGCAGCTTGCCCAGACAGGCCCATAAATTCACCCTTCCATAAATAATTAATATGACAGTGCGATGTAAATCTGAGTCAGCCCTGTTGGTTATGGAATGAAGTTTACTGTCATTATCATCATTCTGTGCCGTTGCCTAAAATTTGAAATATAATTTATTTAATGTGATAAACTCATACAATTACAAAAGAAACAAAACAAAAACAATAATTCAACCCAAACTCACATAATCCAAAAGCAAAAAAAAAAAACGGGGGCATTATCTGATGAGATGCTTCTTTGGTTTACCTTCACTTTGTATTTAGACTATCAACTTCCTTTTTAGATGGTCGTTTATGGTGTCGCCCCAGTGCCAACAACACAAGTAATACCTGACCACACCTTCTGACAGTATTCTGGGATATACTCCCATTGCCTATAGAAAGACATGCAAATCAACTCTGGCATGGGAAATGCTGTCTGGATCTTACCTCTTCTGCAGACCGTGCACAGTAAATCAAGTGAGGCTAATATGAATCAAATCAAGACAATATATTACACTAATTGCCTTATCAGATGGCTGTCTCGAATGCTTTAAGGTTCCTTGCACAGGGTGTTGAGGATGTATTCATACAGAGGGCTGTCCTTGAATAACTCAAAACTATAACAGTCTAGAATAAGTCTAATAAAAGTGGCCAGTACGTTGTCGAAGAGTGGAATTGCAGCCCTCTTATATCTCTCTTAAAGGGATAGTTCACTTTGAAATTATTTTTATATGATTTAGCTTACCTCAAGGGCATCCAAGATGTAGGTATCTTTGTTTCCGCAGTATTTTCAATTTTGATATTTTTCGGTCAAACCGTTGTTGTCTGTCAGTCATATAATGGAGGTATATGGGGTCCACCTCAAAGAGCATGCACAGAGAAGGCCAAATTAAACATGATTTAATGACTCGTAAATGTAAGTACACATTGATGGCCTAAGACGTGAAACGAGCGGTTTGTGTGAGAAAAGGAACAGTATTTATATCGTTTTTACCTCGTGCAACCACAGCTATGTCCAACTGATCTGAAGGCACGGGCTCTTCGGTCTCAGCATGCTTGCGCGTGTACATCACTCATTGTTTAAACAGAGATTTCGGAAGTTTTACCTTTCACTGTGAAGATCCAAACATATTTACATATACAGGAAAACACAATGGAAGACGATTTCGATATATTTCGATCGTCACAGTGAAAGGTAAAACTTCCGAAATCTCTGTGTAAACATGACGTACACACGCAAGAGATCACTTCAGGCGCATACGCAAACCGAAGCGCTCGTGCCTTCAGATCATTTGGACATGGCTGTGGTTACACAAGGTAAAAACGATATGAATACTGTTCGTTTTCTCACACAAACCGCTCATTTCATGTCTTAGGCCATCAATGTGTACTTACATTCACGAGTCATTAAATCATGTTGAATTTGGACTTCTTTGTGCATGCTCTTTGAGGTGGGCCCCGTAAATCTCCATTATATGACAACAACGGTTTGACCGAAAAATCTAAAAATTGAAAATACTGTGGAAACAAAGACACCTACATCTTGGATGCTCTTGAGGTAAGCTAAAACATATATCAAAAATGAATTTCAAAGTGAACTATCCCTTTAACCACATCCAAGAGTGGAATAAGGGTCTTTGTGTGCGTTCAGCGTATATGTTGCATCGGCTCCGCTGGTTTCCTCTAGGATTATAAGTGTGCCCTGAGCGAGGGAGATTGGTCAAATGCACGCTGAGCTGCCACCTCTGACTGTGAGCATGATTCAATGTGATGTCCACTTTGTGTCCCTTTATTTGCCTCTGAAAGGAAAAGCTTGTCTTTTATGTCTGCCAAGCAGCCCTTTCCAACCCTGCACAGCTAATCATACATCCTGTCAACATGACTGTTTTACACTAAACCCTGTTGTTCTGCTTAGAAAGCCCGGTTCTGTTTATGGTGCAGAAATGATGCAGCCTTATGGTAAAATCAATAAAGTTGCATGGGTTATAAATATATGAATCTAAACGACAGCAGAGGGGGAGTAATTATACAAATAAAACATTGTGTTCTCGGCGGGAAACACGCTAGGACATAATTGATTAGCATTTTGAAGGTGATAACGAGACATTTTGCGCTTTGCTCTGTTGTATAGCGCACGCATCTGCGTGTGTGGATTTTAACTGTCTTGACATGTCCTTGTGGAGTGATCTCAACCGTGATGGTAATAACAATAATTATCTTCTAAGTGTGGAAAGTCAAAGACATGAATATTCTCATACAGCGTTAAGTTCAGCAGACAAGTGCTTTCACATGATTTCATCAAGACAAATTAACAGTAATTGCACATTGAATTGTTCCAGAAATATCAGATGCTGTTGCTTTCTTAGTTTGATGTTCAGAGAAAGGTTGTTTTTTTTAAATTCAGTGGCACCATATCATTTGTTGGTCACGAGGAAATCACATTCAGAAAAAAAAAAACATGTCCAGAAATATTAGTAGATCAAAAAACAAGTCCACATAAACAAACTAAAACTCAAAAGCAACCAAGACTTTATAGTTCCATTTGGGGAAAAAAGGCAAAAGCTGGCCAAATCTGCCATCACTTTTGATTAATTCTTTAGTTACTCTTTCACAGGCATTAGATATTTGAAAAATTGTTATTAATAAGGACATGATTTCTAGAGATTAACCCCTCGTTCCTTTATCCCTGATCCAGAGACCTTTGGAAAATTGATCCTGTTAGATTGATGGATGTCCTGTTTAAGGGTTTGTCCTTGTGCTTGTGTTTTTGCTGTAATCCTGAGGGCTCATTTGTTTAATGATGCAATTGTGTCTCATTTTGTCACTTCTGTGTAATGTCACATTGAACAAACCTCAAGTTGTTTAATTTTGGGTTTTATTAGTCCTAAAGAAAACCTTCGGACAGAATAAACATTTTAAGTTACTTAAAACATTTAACCAAATCTGTTTTTCAGTTGATGAGTTGGCAAACAGTAAAAACTATGTTCCATCTAGATGATGTGATCGACATTTGGAATGCAGACAATAGCTATTGTGTTTCCATAAAATTTGTTTTTATGGAAAACAAATTTTGCGCAAAACAGAAGTGAAACAGCCATTCTAATGCATTCAATGATTTGTGGTTTAGAGTGCAAACAAAACTATTGGACAAATTTCATGTTTGCCAGCAATTGGTGGAAAATTCCTTATGTCTGGAAACAATACCACATCTGACAAATCAATTCGGTAACATTCCAAACAAACAAATAAATAAATCATTTGTAATGCACATTTAAAAAAACAAAAACATCAAGCATTTTTGCATTGAAATATGTGGACGAACACTGGGTTGATGACTAGTGCAGCGGTTTGCAAACAAAACGTGGATTGTACCTCACAGCCATTTAGCACAGGATGAATGGTCGAAATGGGCTTCATTATGGAGCTGTGTCATGGGGCCCTGTTATCAGGCACTGCACCATGGGTCCAACTGCCTGAGATATAGAGACAACTCTGTGGACAGAGCCTTGATGTTGACACACAACATATTAGTCCCCCTGGAAAAACAGGGGGCTTTGTCCCAAATTTCCATTTCCTCACCCACCGTTTAACTGGTGTCATCAAACTAGGGCAGATGGAGCTGGACACTGTGAATGAGGGAGCATCTGAGGGAGGAAGAGACAGAAGAAAATGGATGTTTATTGTCCATGTATTTTTAAAGAGGGCATCTGCAGCACTGGATGTGTAAACATAGCTTGACCCTAGGAAGTAAGAAGTGGTCGTGTTAAAGAGGATCTTTGGTTAAGAAATGGCCAAAAAGGGGCAGTCAATAAAAGTCATTGAGCTTCATTAACACTGACATACGCCTTTTTTCCATGTTATTAATGCCCCTTATTAAGGCATAAAATTGCATATTAACTATTGATTACCTGTTACCATTCTTCAATAATCAATTGTAACTGCTTCAAACGTATTCTAGTCCATCTTTATTTTAATCTGGTTTAAACTCCTCTTTTGTCTAATTTTTCCATTCAAGCCGAGAGCAAATTCTATATTTATCGTTCCATTATGTTTAAATATAGGGGATGATCAGCACACGTCAAAGACGGGCAATGCTAAAACAATTATCTTTATAAAGTGGTAACCCTTTGACCTATGACCTTTAAAATAGGGCAGTACAATTGCATGGAGCTTTTGGTCTGTTTTGTGAAAGATTAAAGAGAGACGATCTGTTGCACCTGCCAGCCCAGCGTGTTATTACTACGGCTATGACAGGTCCATCTTGTGTCCCAACTGACTGATGTCAAACCCATTTTCTGTGGTCACAATTAGAGTATCAAACAGGACTGGATACGTTCAGGTCCAAGTATTCTGCCATTTCCGATCTGTAAGAAAAAGAGCAGAACTGCAGTGAAACAACAATCTGAATGTGAAAATGAACGGCTTGCCAATTAGAGGCGAGTTTTGGGCTTCCCTGTCGTGTCGGGGTCGTGTTGAAAAGAAGCCTGTGATCTGGGCAGATCTCTGGAGCAGCAGCGACACCATCCTACACCCCCTGAGTTCACAGGACACGTATCACCTGCGCTCAGCATCTCGGCTCCATTACAGGCCTGCCGCAGCTTCGGTGCCATTCTGCGCATCTGCTCCCGGTGGTTCCGGCGTCTGCAGTCAAAAGCCCATAATGAGCATCTCTCACTCCAGCTGTCCCACTGATAGCCTAAAACCATCGCATGCTGGGAGCTGCAAGGATAGGCTGTCAGCAGGCCGATGGGCTTGACCCTTGACCCCTAGCTCAGCCGGACTTCAGCATTCTGACCGATGACGCAGAGATTAGAGCTCCCCGGAGACTCACCGCCACACGTCTGGTCGTGGCTTTGCCATCGCGACATCGATTCATGGGATTTTGTTTTTTTTTCCACACATAGGTTACAGACCGGTTCTTGTGTAACCTTTGAACTTTAGCAGTGAAACAGCAAGTCTGTTATCCAAGTGCCTGATTGGAGCAGCCATCACTGAAGTGTGATTAGAACTCCACCAAACAAACATGGAGGCCTTCATTGAATTCCTGTCAAGTCCATGCAAACCAAAGGTGACAGATGTAATTTGTTTGTCCCGATAGTTTAATTTAAGCTGATACCTTTAAGCTAGAGCCGCAGTGTGAGAAATGGCAGAAGGAAATGGGTATGGGGACAGTGGAAAATCGGGAGAGAGAGAGAGAGAGAGAGAGTTCCTGTCCACTTGTCTCCTTGGCTTCTTACAGAAGGCCAGTTGCATCAGCCTAAGAACTTCCACATTTACCTTCTGAAAACAATCCATTAAAACTGTGCCAGGCTACCGGCCCTGCCACTCCACGAGGAGCGCAAGAGGGAATGGAGCGACAGCGTGAGATAGGGACACAGTGTATTAACCAGGAGTGAAGGCATCATGTGAGTAACACAGTCGGGAAGGTAGGAAGAACGATGGAGAGGATGTTGGAGAGAGAGAGAGAGAGAAAGGGATTGGAGAGAGTGAGTGAGGACACTGGTGGACAGCTACAAGATGGAGTAGCAGCATGCGGGAGATAAGCTGTCGAGGCGGAGACAGTGTGTGACAGTCCTCGAAGCGGCAAGCAGGCGAGAGTGTGACAGGGAATACAGAGAGCTGCATTATTGTTTAAATCATTGATTGCTTCCCTCCTCCTCAGCCTGTGACGTGTGTGACACCAGAGAGAGAGCTGAAAAAACAGGGTGCAAAACCTCCTCCTCCTCTTCCCCTTTGTTCTTCCTCATTTCCACCAGATGCACTGTATACCTGCCGTCTTTGTCCTAACCATCAACTGGGGTTTGTCTTCACTTGCTTTTTTGCCGTTGTTTCTTTTCTTTCTATACTTCTTTAGTGTGTCTGGATTGCATTTAATTAAGCAGCACAGCAGAGATTTCTGAAAACTACATACATTATATATTTATATGTGTGTGTGTGTACAAATATATATATATATATATATATATATATATATATATATATATATATATATGAAGAGTTCAGATGCAAAAGCCTCTAAATGCCATTTGAAATTTTCTTCTTTAATGATGATTTTTATCAAACTTGTATATTTATGTTCAGTAATTTCACTTAAATAACAATTAATAGGTAATTATCATTGCCATTTAAGTGAAATTACTGAACTTAAATATACAAGTTAGATAAAAATCATCATTAAAGAAGAAAATTTCAAATGGCATTTAGAGGCTTTTGCATCTGAACTCTTCATATATTTTGTCATGTACTCATTCTCATGTCGTTCCAAACCTATATGGCAATATAATGAAAGTGAACTGGGTCTATCAACCCATATGACAAAAATCCAGGTATGAAAGTAGTCACTTTTGCGCTATATGCCAAGTAGCAATGTCTAATTTGTAAAGGAATCATTCTTTTTCGGTCTCCAATGCAAAAACAAAATTGGTCTGAACAATTTATTCATGAATCAGGCTAATCTGTTTCTGGAGATCAATTTAACATAAACTGAGATTAACAGGCTACTATAGAAGATTATCAGTGCATTTGTTACAGAAAACTGGGGAAACTTTGTTTTGAGATTTAAGACTGCAATAAATAAAGACTGAACAACTTCTCCCAGCACTTTCCCCTAACACTGCAAGACATTTGAACAATTTCACCATTCAATCAACCTTTGATATTTTCCCTGTTAAGTGAGAAGGTCACCTCATCTAACGGTCAAATGCAAATTCCATACAGAATCATCTTTCCTTTTAGATAAGGACATGATTTGTCTGTATCTTTATGATGTGAAGCTTTAAATTCAATAAAAAAACACCAACATTAAGCCTGATAGTCTACACTACTCTACACACTATAGTTGAATTAAAATAATATTTTCAAATGGCCTTTATTAGAGCACCAAATGATTTCTGAAGGATCATGTGACACTGAAGACTGTAGTAATAATGCTGAAAATACAGCTTTGCTATCACAGGAATTAATTACATTTTAAAATACCATAAAATAGAAAGAAAGAAAAATAATCAAATCACAATATTAGTTTTAATTTTGATAAAATAAATGCAGCCTTGGTGAGCAAAAAAAAAAAGTTTATATAATGCAACTCAAAGATGAATCATGATTTTTGTGAGAGAACACTTGCCCACAAATTTTACAAATATCTGTGAACATGGTGAATTTGATCCATCAAGTTCAAACCCTACACTGAAATACGTCTCTTTTCCTCTCATCTTGCTCGCCTTTCTCTCCAAGTGCAGGCAGTGGAGGTGTTGGGCAGAAAGTGGCTAACAGTGAGGTCTTGTGACACTCCCCCCTCCACCCACTCTTCCTCTCCGCAGGCCGGCTGTCTCTCTCCGCTCGCCCAGAGCCTGACACTGACGTGACACTCGTGAAATAATTATGAACCAAAAACACTGCTGACAGCAAACAGCCCGCTCCCCTCAATGATGTGTCACCCATGATTAGCATGGGTCCTGGCATCCTCGCAGCCCGCAGGCGGAAGAGAAGAGGAGGGTGAGGGTACGGAGGGAAGGAAAGGGAAGGGGTGGGGGGACGGCGAGATGGACAAAGAAAAAGTCTAAGAAAAAGCGCAAAAATTAAACCGAGATGGATGAAGCGTAAAACTAACAGAGCTGGTAAACGGAGGGAGTGATATAAGGACGTACAAGAATGTGGGGTGGAGTTAGATGCTCTGCTTGAAGCTCATGACCGTAGGGAATAAACCTTAGAGACTGACACCTGTATCTGTCATCTGCCGTTATAGGGGACATATGCCTCGCTTCAGGCCACCACAGATCAGCACCGGCGGCTCCACACTCTAATATGTGGTCCCTGACCTTTGCCTGTTAAATACCAAAGGTCAAAACAGATCAGGGTTGGACATAATTCAGGACTGAGTGTGAATTTGAATTGAACTGACCACACCCTACCTACAGAAAAAGACGGGACTTCCAATTCAGAGAACACAGATTTACTTAATTCTAGGAAATTCATACAAAAATGATTTGTGAATGAAAATTTGTTTCAAAACCATAAGACTTACTTTTTTTTTTTTTTTTTTTTTTTTTTTTTCTTTTTTTTTAAGTTTTTTTTTTTTTGGTCTTCTCTTTTTGTCATTAGGGTCCATAAAAGCATTGTATGGACGAAAAAACAACCCATACATTTTTCAAAATATTCAAAGTATTCACATACACACACACACCAATGCAATTAACAATCTAACGTCAACGTTTTTCAACTTTGTTAAAAACTTTTACGCAAGGCAAGCTTTCAAAGTTTGTCTTTATATTAATTCACTTTAATTATATTTACTTGCATTCGAATTTCAATAGCAATTCTGCATCCTCAATTCAAATTTAGAAATTCAACTGTAATGTAAAAGGCATTATCAATTCAATTCTGAACGGCAAACATTTCTGCAGTGAAACTATTTGACACGTGAAGGAGCACACTGCGAAACATAAGCATGTGCAGTTGCGACAAAAAGTCAGCCAGTACACGTTCCAGGAAGTGAAATCCATCAGCCACTTTAAAGCGGGCGGACCAGGCGTTTAAAAAAGCAGGCCGTGTCTCTCCAGCCCTCTTCAGTGGCAGAGTGAATTTGCGCGACGGCGTCGAGATTGATAGGTGGATTCACAAAGCCTTTCAGAACTCTAAGGAAAGCAGCTTTGTTTCCATGACTGGAGGTATAAAATGCACAATGTACATAACTCTTCTTAACAGAGAGTAAATCCCAGTAAAACAACTTGCCGTCTGAAGGGACAGTACATTTCACCTCACTATATTTGGAGATAAATCTAGGATGATCAACCATGAAACACTCACCGTCCAGAGCTGGGAAAACACTCGATTTATAGAGCTGGGAGTTTCAAAGAGCTACAAAACGTCTGAGAGACAGAAAACACAAATAAAAAACATTTTTATAGTGCGTCAAATAGATGGGCATCCCAAAACGTTTTATTAGCCGCTTTTGGTGACAGGCTTTCCTTCTCTGACACGATGCTCAGGCCAGCGTTGAGCTGTAAAATGAGAGGACGGCTTTGTTGTGCTAACTCAGACTAGTCTAGACTAGCATGTGGGAAAAGCTTTGAAAATGAAAGCCGGTGTCTGCGTAGGTAGGGCTACAGACGTTAGGGTGTGTGTCGGTAGCAGTGGGAGGGGTGGTGTTGGCCAGGCCTGTTGGTTAAAGGGTGGCACAGAGAGAGAGAGAGAGAGAGAGAGAGAGAGACATGGTGACACCGCAGCTTTGAAAGGTTCATACAATATTAATGTCCACGAGGGAGAATCACTAGCCTGGCCCCAGGGGTCACCCAATTAACTGGAACACACTCCCATTTCCAGTGTGTGTTCTGTGCAGTCGGTTCCATACCTCCTTTCTGACATCAATGTGTGTGTGTGTGTGTGTTTGCTCATATCTGCGCACGCTGATAGTCACCACACTCATAGCTCATGTTTTCTTCTGTTACTCTAGTCTCTCTCTTGAAAGAAGAAGTGTTATGGACAGTGATGTATGATTGTAAAAAGCTAATTTACTGTTTTACTTTTTTAGCTTTTTAATATGCTGAAAATTAAGCTGGCTCAGGTGAATCTAACAAACAGAGCTGCTCTCGGATTTGGACCTGGCAGTGCATGGAGGAAAAAGCCTGAGAAATGCTGCAAGC